TATTGCATTTGAAATACTTAGATATTTTTAGAGCTATTTATGATTAGCTTTATATAGTTAGCTTTATATAGTTTACTGTATATATTTTATTTGTTATATTTTTGTAATTAAATTGTAATGCGCGTTAGATCATTTATATGGATAGCGCGCATTATGAGTTAATAAAATTATTATATTATTATTATTAGGTTTTGTGTTACTCTTTCCTCTTTTAAGCGTCAGATTAAGACCTGGCTTTTTAAAAATTGGACTGAATTCGATATACCTTAATTTTAATGTTTTTTTTCCCTCTTTACCTTTGTATGATAGTATATATATTATTGATATTTTTACATGATTTTCATAATATTCAGTAAATAATGCATTTTAAGAGGCAGTCTCAGTAAAACCGGCCCACTGCATTTCGGCTCAGAAAATAGCTTTCCCTCATATTTTTACCATAGAAAGGTAATTACTAGTAAGTAATGAAAATGACTTTATTTTCTCGAAATTCATCAAAATGATTTTTTTTACAGCGCATAAATCCTGGACCACCGTTATCACTAAATTTGCATTTATTATCAATTGAAAATTACCCATATTTAAGTCGTCACTGCTCGCAAAATATAAAACGCTGGAACAAACAATTATTTTTCCTGACTTTTACATTCATTCTAGTGTCAAAAATAAGCAAAATTTTGAATGTTAACCAAAAGGGGAAAAAGGAGAAAAATAAGTATTCATAACCATTTGACGGCTTTTTGAAATCAAGACAAACCACCCCTCACTAAAAAGCTCCCAAGTCCAGAACGGGTTACTTAAGTTTTTTACTTCAATCTATTGATCGAAGGTTGATAAAAGTGGATCCATAAAAACATTTTGCGCTTTTTATGTATCTTCTTCACAGCAACCTCGGACTTTTTCGTGTTTTTACCAAAATGTCTTATTTTGCAGGGGGAACACAAAACACTAGTGCCCAGTGTTCGGGAGAACACATAACTCGGGGGAACACAAATCCCTGTGACACTGCAACAGTTTTGTAACAGTGCAAACATTGCTCCGCGTAATCGCGCCTAAAGACAACTTCATAGCAAAAGATATGAAAGTTTGCGTAAAGCATCATACTCACTTTAGCCTTGTAAAATTTCGGACATTTGAGCCTGCAATGAGTAAGCAACGGTTTCTATTGAGCCTGCAATCTTAGGCAGCAGATTTGCCCTAAAACATACGATTTGCCGACAAAATGGCGTCTGGAACCGGTAAGTGTAGTCGTATAGGAAAATCTAAAGGATTTTATCTCTAGTTTAATGATTTTTCCACTCAATTTTTTGAAACTCGCGCGAAATCTGAAACCGCTGAGCAGTGAGTCGTGGTCTCACAGAGAAGGGGTCTTCTAGGGCCCTTTTTACTATGGAACAAATTACTGTTTTAAGACATTTACCGCTGAAATATTTAGCTGAATGTAATATTTGAGGAACAACCTTTCAAACGAAGGGTTTTTCGAGTGATTTGAAGCATTCTTTCAAAAGTTACAGTCTTTTGAACTCAGCCGAATTCAGAAGATTTAGCCTGTAGTTATGAAGGATTTCAGTGGATGGATTTATTGGCGTTTTTCAAAAGCAAAAAGTATACATCAAAGTACTTTCGACACGGAATAGGAAGGAATGGTGAGTGTTATGATCATTTCAGGAAAGAGTTCCAGGGTATACATTTGTAACTTTTTGCTTTGTTTCTGCTCAAAACTATAATTTATGACTACACTTTGCAGCTGTGATAAATGGCCGCCCACAGTCTCTTGTAATTCAGAGCGACTCAGAGCACGATATTGTTTTCAAGAAAGTATACATGAAAATTTACCTCTGATTCAAATGATCAACATTCTCAAGTTGCTGAAGCTTCACTTCATCGATTCCCGCCTATACATTTTTGAAAATGTCCCTTTTTATCAATAAAATTAACAAAAACATTTCGATTCATATACATTCTTTTGTAAAATTTACGGTCGGTAACATATAAATATTGAGATGTGCCAGGCGTTCCGCGCGGGTGATGTCCGAAATTTCTGGCGATGTGGCGACCCACTAAGGCTTGCCTCTATTCAACACAACAAGGTATACCAGGCTACAAGAGCTCTAATACCTAAAGTCGGCATTCAATTAAAATTTTGATATGTCCAAGCGAACGTTTATATAAACGAGTGGTGATGACTAGTAGAATACTAGTACTAGTAATAACTTGTACTTAATCACTTGTTTTAAACTTTATAGTATAATCAACAAAATTACTCGACTCTGATTGGTCGAGAGGAGTACAATTATAGCGTTAATTGTACTCCGTAGGAGTACCGAATTAAGTCGCTATGGCAACACGGCCAAAACATAGCAAAACAATTATTTTGTATCATTTTGTACTTAAAAAGCATATAAATAAAATTTTAAAGCCGTAAGAACTAATCTTTTTTATGCTTTTCAGTTGCGCGATGGACCGAAAATCGGCGGCCAAATAGACAAAGATTAACGGCATCGCTTCGCATTTTTTACTGAAATTTTGTTGAGTGAACTATAAACAAAAAATCGCACGATCTTCTCGTACAATTTGGAATTAATAGACACTCGTAATGTTTCGCCTAAAGGCTCGTGCAATTACAAGAACTTTCAAAACATTACTCGTGTCTATTAATTTCCAAATTGTACTCGAGATCGTGCGATTTCCTATACAAATTGTTCTTTCCGTCGTGGTAGATAAATTGTATTTTTACTATTTTCATTTAAATTTTATTTTGACTATTTTCCTTAGTTTGGGCAGATATATCAAAATAGATGCTTTTTGACAAGTTTTTAGGTTATTTAAAACAAAAACAAAAGAAAAGAAATACAGTTTTGGAAACTATAATTTAGAAAAATTAGTTTACATTATCAATAAG